TATATATATACATGTGTGAAGCAGCGTGGTGGAATCAGGCTCTCGTCAAAATAATCAAAGTGAAGAAACTTGTATTTTTCTGCAGGTTTGTGAATTTTTATAATTTTTTTGTTTTTTGGCTCAACACCTTTCATGCCCATTAAAGAACTCATTTCTGTGTGGATTTTTCTGAAAAACGTTGATTAAAGGCACAAAAAATGTAAATGTTCAGTTACCACCGACTCTTAAGCTAAGGAAATAACTAATCTTTGGCGGCTATTTTCTCCCTAACTTTACCTCTGAAAATAGGTGACCCTCACCTCCTTCATTTGCAAATAATATCTCGACTTGTATTGAGATAAATTGATATTTTTTTCATCCAAATAAAGGCAAGTGAACAAGCATTAAGCGCACTCAGCACATACACCCAAACACACACGCATAACACGGCTCACACACACGCACACACACACGCACACACACACACACACACAGTTACACACACACACATGCTCCCTCACGACCACTCCAGACCCTCTATACACAAAGAAAGCGAAGACTCCAGTGAAAAACAGCCTCATACAACATTATAGTAGTCTTGTGATAGACCCACCTCTCCCTCAGACACTATTGGTATTGCACAAATGTTTGGAGCGTTGGTGTGCCGTCTCTTTTCACTATAGCTTGGTTGTCAAAATATGAGAAAGCTACCAAACCTATAGGTTTCTCAATGTAAAAATATAGCTGTGTTTGCAAGCGCAAGGGCTCCTATAGCGTATAACATAGCTATGTTTCACCGTTCAATATCAGTTTAGACTGAAAGAAAGTCTTTATTTCGTTTCAAGTCCACTTCATTTATACAGTAGGCATACTTCACTTAATGAAAACATCTGATCTTTAAAATCTCCCTACCGTTCTTCCTCGCTTCACTAGGTGTTTCAATATGTTCTTTGCAGCGACTGCAGCAAAAAAAATGTTGCAATCGTTAGTGAAAGGGCACAGAATGAAAAACGTAAGCGGTGCTAGTGGGGGGTGGCAACAAGAGAGGTCGTCAAAGCGCACAAGATTGAAAAAAAAAAAGCGAAGACAGTGAAAAGACCGTGTTTGTCTTTTATTATGATACAGAGTCTAACGGGTTCAGTAAAGACGTGACTGGTCGCTTCGAACACATTGCAGAAAACGTGAATATGATACGGCCCTTGTGAATATAATACGGCCCTCTTAAATGTTGCTGTGTATAATACGGCCCTGCCAGAGCCATTTCTTTCTCTGCTTCTTCAAGTGTCCCAAAAGAAACTGTAGATTCTTCCCCTTCGGGTCTTAGTTTGGTTAAAGCGCTTTCGAAACCTGTTAAGTGAAATAATAAGATCTATCTATCTATCTATTTATCTATCTATCTATTTATCTATCTATCTATCCATCTATCCATCTATCTGTCTATCTGTCTATCTGGTACTCCCACTCATTCCCTCTTCTCTCTCTCTCTCTCTCTCTCTCTCTCTCTCTCT